CCCTCACACCAAAACTAAATGCAGGGAAAGGTGGCTTTTCAGAAAAATCCTGAAATTGCATCCCCAAAATCTGTATTTCTTCCATAACAACACTTGGGGAAGGCAAAGGGCGTCCTTGGTCGTGTCCCATATTATTGGCTGCAAAGGGAGGGTCTTTGGCATGAAAAAGCCCTTTTAATTCCCACCCAAACCATCCCCGGGAACTACTGAAACATCTCACTCTCCAGAACACAAATATTTTTAGCACTTCCCCTTTTCAGCTACATTGGTCAAAATATTTTGTCAAAAGTGACACTTCTGTCAAAAATGTAGCAAGTTCTTTACAAAACACACACCTTTTCTAACCAAACACCACCTGGAGGCAATGGGGGCCAAAGCACTTGTCCCCGAGGGCTTCACAGCCGCAAAAACTGCTGATGCAGCCAGAAATGCTGAGTTGCACCCAAGAGAGTTGCTCCACCAGCATTCCCCACCCTTCCTTAGGGAACTGCAGGCAGCAATCCCATATTGTGCCACCAAAACAGGTCCCAGTAGCCACCTCTTGCTGGAAACCAGTCACCCACCTGGAGAACTCCTTGCTCTAGTTGGGCGTTAATGGGAAAACCTCCCCCAAACCTCCACCTTCTCAGCAGAGCCCCTTTTGCCAGGGGTCCCTCCATGCCTGGGCTTGGGCTGGTTGAGGGAAGGAGACTGACACATGGTGAACCTTGCAGGAGAGAGCTCAGCTGGATTGTCAGCTGTGTGACACCTCCGTCATCGTGCAAATGGACAACAGCCGGGACCTGGACATGGAGGGCATCATCAAAAGCGTTGAGTGCTGCTACGAGGAGATTGCCCAGAAGAGCAAGGCTGAAGTGGAGGCTTTCTACCAAACCAGAGTGAGTACTCACACCACCAGCACAGATGGCAATGAAATCCCTTGGCCAACAAAACTCTGGGGACCATTTCTCTCCTCCATGACACAACTTAAACCCACCCCACAGTCTGCATGCACTGTCTTGCTATAGAAAGTCATGCCAAAAAGAACAACCCACCCAAACAACCCTTAAAACTGTGTTTTAAGACTTCTCGGTAAAAACCAGAGTTGCTTCAAAGAGGTCTCCTCTGTGCACACCCACCAGGAACACCATCCCCTTCCCAAAGGACAAATGCTCAGACCTACCCAGGACTGTTGCCGTGTCCAGGCTGAGGTCACGTCTGGGTGCTTTCCCAGGAGCACCCACGTTGGTGCTGCTCCGGAGAGTTGCCACCTTCCCTGGAAGGGGCGATTGGGGCGTGTTAACGTCACCTTTTTCCCTTGCAATAGCTGGAGGAGCTCCACAGCAGCAGGGGCAAGTTCTGCGATGACCTGAGGAACAACCAGAGCGAGATAGCCGAGCTCAACCGGATGATCCAGAAGCTGCAGTGCGAGTCAGACAACGTGAAGAAACAGGTAGGACCAAGGGTTGAAGGGGAGACACGCCAAGGGCTTCCTCCTCACCAGCTCCCACCCTGCTGAGATGCAAAGAACCCCCCAGACCCCAGCCTGAGCCTGTATTTGCAGTGTCTCATCTGCTGTTGACACACAGAGAAGAAGATTTATTTCTCACTTGGCAAATAAGCAGAAGCTGGTTGGTTTGTCTACAACAGGAGGTGCTGCCAAGAGGTCCTCTCCTCTTTACCCCTCTTCTTCACCCCAGACAGCTTGGCCATCACATGTGTCCAGCCTAAATCCAGGCTCTCAGGCAGTTCCTAGCTGAGAATCAAGGGGGTGCATAAGGAACCCTGTAGAGATGCCTCTTAAGATGACCACTGGCCACCTTCTCACCCGTTCCTGCCCGCAGATCGCAGCCCTGCAGACGGCCATCTGCGACGCTGAGCAGCGGGGTGACTGTGCCCTCAAAGATGCCCGGCAGAAGCTGATTGACCTGCAGACTGCTCTGCAGCAGGCCAAGGACAAGATGGCATGTCTGCTGAGGGACTACCAGGAGCTGCTGAACGTCAAGCTGGCCCTGGACATTGAGATTGCCACTTACAGGACACTGCTGGAAGGAGAGGAGAGCAGGTAGGAGCAGCCCTGGAGGCACCTTGTCGCCAAAGCTGACAAAAGCCAACAGGAGAGGAGAGAGACAGGAAGGCAGACCCCCACGGGTGCAGAGGGGAGTATTGTCCCTTTTGGGTGCAGAGGGGACCATCATCCCTTTTCTCCCACCCATGGGTGCAGAGGGGAGTATTGTCCCTTTTCTCCCCCATGGGTGTAGAGAGGAGCATCACCCCTTTTTCTCCCCATGGGTGCAGAGGGGACCATCATCCCTTTTCTCCCACCCATGGGTGCAGAGGGGAGTATTGTCCCTTTTCTCCCCCATGGGTGTAGAGAGGAGCATCACCCCTTTTTCTCCCCATGGGTGCAGAGGGGACCATCATCCCTTTTCTCCCACCCATGGGTGCAGAGGGGAGTATTGTCCCTTTTCTCCCCCATGGGTGTAGAGAGGAGCATCACCCCTTTTTCTCCCCATGGGTGCAGAGGGGACCATCATCCCTTTTCTCCCACCCATGGATGCAGAGAGGAGCATCAGCCCTTTTTCTCTCCATGGGTTCATCTCTGAGACACTTCTTTTCTTTACAGGATATGCACCGGCAACCCTGTGAGCGTCGGTAAGTTAATGAGCCATCCCCTTAATTTCCTTACAAGTCTTTTAAGCTTATAAGTTTCTTTTCAAGCTGGTTTTGAGCTGCTCTGGGAGTGACGGAGCCTGTTTTTCTCCCACAGCTGTGGTCAGTGGCGGTGGCACCGTCGGGGAGTGCCGATCCCTATCTGGAATGGGAGGCAAATGCACCGTCAAGACCGGAGGGGCCGGCGGGGGCTTGGGGGTGGTCTCCTCCTTCGGGGTCGGCGGCGCCGGCTTTAGCACCCGCAGTATGGATTGTCTCCCCAGGGTGGGGGGCGGCTTCGGGGCCAGGAGCGCCGTCAGCTGCGTGGGGCGAGAAGTCATCCCCGGGGCCGAGGGGGTCCAGTGCGCCCCCGGGATGGGCAACATGGGCAACATGGGCAACCTGGGCAACGTGGTGTGCGCCGGGGTGGAGCAGTGTAGCCCGGGGGCTGTCATCATCCCCGGGGCTGGGGTCTGCAGCGCCGGGAGCCGGTACAGCACAGCCGTGAGGGTGGTCAGAACAACCCGGTAGAGAGCGGGGCTAGGGGGTGGGGGGGGCCAACGACCCATCATATTTTAAAATAATCAGCATTTCTGCAATAAAACAGTATTCCCCTTCCTTCTGACAGCTACAGGGATCACACAACCATGCACTGTCCATGCCCACACGATTAGGCACATCGCTCTGCCCAAAACTCTTTGCATGATCAAAACCCACCTTCTCATCCCTGTCCTTCTTGGGGACATGGTCCTTCCTGGGGACATGGTCACTCTTGAGGACACGGTCCTTCTTGGGGACACAGTCCCTCTTAAGGACACGGTCCTTCTTGAAGACATGGTCCTTCTTGGGGACATGGTCCTTCTTGGGGACAGGGTCCCTCTTGAGGACACGGTCCTTCTTGGGGACATGGTCCTTCTTGGGGACATGGTCCCTCTTGAGGACACAGTCCCTCTTGAGGACACAGTCCTTCTTGAAGGCATGGTCCTTCTTGGGGACATTGTCCTTCTTGAGGACATGGTCCTTCTTGGGGACATGGTTCCTCTTGAGGACACAGTCCTTTTTGAAGACACAGTCCTTCTTGGGGACATGATCCTTCTTGAGGACATGGTCCTTCTTGAGGACACAGTCCTTTTTGGGGTGCCAAGAAGGGACCCCAGGGTCTCAGCCTTTGGGTTTCATTTCAGACAGTCCATACCTGCCTTCACACAGCATCTCGTAACTCAGTCTTCTCTCCTTGACCCCTTTTCAGCAGGGATTTTTCTCTCCTTTGCAAAAGGGTGAGAAATTGAGTCACCCCAACTTCAGAGAGAGAAGCCGTGTTTCAGTTGTGGCTGCAGCTATGATTTAACTTCTCTAATGACACCCCCCAAAAAACAACAAAATCCCATTTTTCCTGTTTACGAGAGGGTTGGTAATGCTTATGCAAATGGGTCCAAGTTGCTACACCAGGTCTGGTAGAGCAGATTTTAATTACACACCGACGAGCACCTTATATTTCTGTAGTTAAATGCATGCGTTGTTTTTCCTGTGTGTGTATCAGGCAGACGGATTTAATGCTTTGAATGTGTAAGTGAACAGAGTTGATTACCCTTCGCTTACTCCAAACTCGCAGCTGTACCTTCAATAAACTACATGCATAATTCAGGCTCTGCTCCACGGGTTTCATTTCCCTCCTGAGATTACAAAAGCCGAGGTATTTTTTCAGACATCTCAAACATGAACCTCCAAAGGGGTGGGGGCGGGATTTTGCGAGAAGTAGGGTTTTAACCAAGTTTTTTTGTTTGTTTGTTTGTTCTGAGACTTTGTCTTCCTGCTGGGCTTTTGCATACCTTTATTCCATCCAGAGATGAGTGCGGCCACAAGGAAGTCTGGAAACGCAGGGAAAAGCAGGATATTTCGCCCCTCGTGGGATGTGCAGCTCCCTGGGGATCCCTCGCGCTGTCTGGGGTGTCTGGAGGCAGAACAAAAAAAAAAAAAAAAAGATTTGTTTAAAGAAATCAGTGCAACAGAAAGGAAAAAAAAAAAAAAATCCCACACCCCACCCTCTCATAAGAGTCAGGGAGTTTTCAAAGGAAGCAAACGAAAAGTGTACTTTAGCAAAATCAGGGCTTTTCTTCCTCGAACACCCCCTGCCTCAAAATGTGGGAACCTGCACAAAGAGCAGCGGCTGCGCCCGGGTCCTCCCACTCCCCCCAACATCCCTTTGCCTGGAGGGGAAGCCCCTCTCCCACCAGTTCAGGGGACTGGGATTGGGGGAAGATCAGCTCGCCCCCTCCCTTTCCTCCAGGAGGGTCCCCTCTTCCCAGGGGAGGGTGACCCACTGCAAGGTCTCCATGGCGTGGCTGGGAAAGGGTGGCCAGGGTGGTGCTCACCACAGCTGGAGGCACAGCTGGACGTCGGGAAAACCAGCCGGCCATCCCCATCCTCTCCCTGGGAGCAGCCAAAAGCCCCCGAGACAACTGGGCTCTGAATTGCCCCTTGGAGAAACCCATCCCTGGAAGCTGCCCAGGGTGTGGGCAGGTGGAGTCACCTCGTGAAAGCTCCTCCGAGGACCGGGTGTTGTCATTTATTCCCCGACGTCCCGCTCCACTTCCTAGACTTCGCTGCTGACTCAGAGCTTGTCTGCCCCAACCTCTCCAGGGCTGGAGAATGAGCTCAACCACCCTGCTGGGCTTGGACTGGCCACCTCGGTGTGATGGGGAGACCTTTGAGTTCCTTCCAGTCCCTCAAAGGGCTCCAGGAAAGCTGGGGGGAACTCTTGATGAGGGAGGAGTGTGATGGGATGAGGGGGAAGGGTTTGACACTGAAAGAGGGGAGATGGAGCTGAGATGTGGGGAAGAACTTCTTTAGTGTGAGGGTGGTGAGAGCCTGGCCCAGGTTGGCCAGAGAAGCTGTGGCTGCCCCATCCCTGGAGGGGTTCAAGGGCAGGTTGGACAGGGCTTGGAGCAACCTGGTGTGGTGGGAGGTGTCCCTACCCAGGGCAGGTGGTTGGAACTGGATTATCTTAAGGTCCCTTCTGACCCAAACCATTCTGTGACTCTACAGTGATGAACCCACCACAGGTTCCCACTCGTTGAGCATCTCCCTCTGCTTCTCTCCCAGCACAGACCATGGCTCCCCATGTCCACGGTGCTTTTCTGGTGGAAAACAAAATGCTTTAGTGGATGTGATCAGCAGGTAGAAGTTCACTAATTAATTTTTAATAAATGACAAGCCTTAGACACACTGCCTGGGCTGGGGCGGGGGTGGTGAAAGCCAAATGGAGCAGCCTTTGTTGAGAAGGCAAAACCCACCCACCTCAAGAGGATGTTTTTCGGAATGGTTATCTTCATCTTTTCTGTCTCAATGCATAGGACTCGGACTTCACCTCATTTGTATGCAAATAACCTGCAGAAACACCCAAACAAGAAGCTTCCAGTGCCCCAACAGCTCATAATAATTTATGTTGATCACCTCATCCCTGCACACCAAACCCCGCCGCCTCCCCAGGGTACCAAAGCAGCCCAGCAGCTCTTGCATTTGTGGGAGAACACCTTTAATCATCCCTGCCCTTCTCAACCCCCCAGGATTGCAAAACCTATGTTTTCTGCTGCCTGCTTGAAGATGTTCATGTAGGACAGGCTATTATGGAAAGAAAAAAGGCCAAGAGTATGTTTTTGGGGGCAATTTAGAAGGCAAACCCTGCTCGGCGTCACTCTGGACGTGCCCCTTGGTAGATGGACAGAGTCTAGAAGAGTTGATCCAAACTGAGAGATTCAAAATGCTACATCTCCCTCTGGGTATGGAGCCCAGAGACCTCAGCTCCTCCACACAACAGACCAGCCCGGTAAAGAAATGGTGCATTTTTCACCCAGCCTTCGCATCGCTCGCATACCTTGTGGACAGTGGGCTGAAGGGAGAAGAGTGTGGGAGCCTCAAATGACAATTCCCTCTTTCTTGTTGGCAGCCCCACCTTTAATCCCATTATATTCATTCAGTTCTAATATCTGTTCTGAACCCGTTTGTCAGCTTCAGGACAATCTGCCTTTTCTGGGGTCAAGAAAGCATGAAGACAATCATCTCATTTTCCCATCGCGCCCGGGCTTTGAATTTCATGCAAATAATCAAGGCAATAGATGTTCATGAATTTCAAGTGACATCCCCAGCAGATTCAGACCAACAGTTTTTCCAAAGAGAAGCGAGCCGACCTGCACCAACCAGGAATTTCTCGCTGCCATGGGAAATTCTATTCGAGTGACCCAACTCTCCCAGTTTGAGCCTGCCCGGCAGCATTTCTCCAAGGGTAATCAGATATTTGGTCTTCTTGTATTCGTGTAGAACACGAAGCACCTGCTTAATTTCATTTCCAGAGATGCCAGTGGGATTTTAGCTCGTACTTAATGGTTTTGCAGCACATGAACGTGTTTTGCAGGGCATGTGGAGTCCCGTCCTGCAAATTATGTTTAAGTTCCAGTCATGCGCAGAGCACGGGTAGTGCCACCGGGGCAGCAACATGCTGAAAACCAACTGAGCTCTTCAATATGAAGAATAAAACACCCTAAAACTTGCAGTTCCACAAAGTCCGAAATGCCAGAAAATGTCACCACACCCTACCGAATCTGCTCTTTTCCCCCAAGGACTCCAGGAATCAGAATAAGGAGAATTTGTGGGAGTATTTTTTCATGCTGGTTAAATCTTTCCTTTTGGCAATATTTTGAACAGAAAGACTCAAAAGGTCTTTAAAAGAAATCATGTCTGTAAAGAGCTAGAATCTCAAGACTGATTACATCCTAATTTTAACACACAAATAATACTATTCCACGAAGCTGGGCAAGGTGTTTTTCAGAAAATCTGCCTCTTTCATTGAAATGCTTTTTAGGTCAAGAGGAAAATGCGTCAATCCCATCCCCAGTTGGCTGGAGACATTGCAAGGGCAGCCTCTGGGTGGGATGGGGTTGTCCTCTGGAGATGTCAATAGAGAGGAAGCTGAGGAAACCTCCCACAGACCAAGTATCCAATACTCAATGGCCAAAATTTGAGGTGACATTTAAATATAGCATCTCTTAGGAAATTCATGGACCACGACCTCTTTGAGCTCATCACTGCAGAAAGACAGTGGATAAATTAGAGCCCTGAAAGAGATGTCAGGTCTCATGAACATCACACCTGCACTCTGCCTTCAGGCGCAGAAGCCCCGTGAAGTATTTTTGCTCAGATTTAGCCATTTTATTCTCACTGCCTTTCACTCAAGTCAATTGAGAAGACTCTCTACTAAGCTCTACACAGACCTACTACAACCTATAAGTAGCATGAGGGTATCAAGTAGCTATTTCTCATTTTTCACCCTTTTAAATATTTTCTTTTTTTTTTTTTTTGGTTTGCAGCTAGGAAATAAAATAATACATCTCTGCCAGCATACAGAGGGTTTGCAGCTCTCCCTGCCAAAACGCAGGGAGTTAGATAACTCTTCTAGCTGAGCAGATTCGCACTAGCTTCAGTAGGTGTGTTTGGGAGCAATCAGTGTTTAACGAGTTTCAATAAGACAGCTGGCTGCCTGGCACGTCAAAACCATGAAGGCACTAAATTGATCACTGGACTTCCACGCAACCAAGCCCAGATCCCCAGGGGGATAAAAAGGGCATCCCGCACCCCCTTCCAGAGAGCTGCACTCTCCCAGTTTGCTGTTTCTTGCCAGCGCTGGGTTGTTTTCTCCTGCTGCCATGAACCGGCAAACGTACAGCTTGAGAGCGGGAGGTGGAGGCAGGTCTTACAGCACTGCCTCGGCCGTTCTTCCAAGTAGCAACAGGGCTGGCTTCAGCTCCGTGTCCGTGGCACGATCTGGAGGAGGTGGAGGTGGCTTTGGAAGGCTCATGGGAGGAGGAGGTGGTGCTCTTGGCAGTGGTTTTGGCAGCAGGAGCCTCTACAACCTTGGTGGTAGCAAGAGGATATCCATCGGTGTTGGAAGCAGCTTCCGAGCTGCTTTTGGGAGTGGAGCTGGTGGTGGTGGCTCTGGCCTGGGAGGTGGCGGTGGTGGTGGTGGCTGTGGACTTGGTGGTGGCGGAGCTGGTGGTGGTCTTGGGCTTGGTCTTGGCAGTGGGTATGGCTTTGGTGGAGGTGCTGGTGGGCTTGGCTTTGCTGGTGGACCAGGAGGTGGTGGAGGGTATGGCTTTGGTGGAGTAGGGGGGCCAGGAGGATTCAGTGGAGGGCTGGGTGGTGGCAGGAGCTCAGTGGCATTTGTTGGTGGCCCACCTGGAGTTGGCACAATCCAAGAAGTGACTGTCAACCAGAGCCTCCTGGCACCACTGAATCTGGAGATAGATCCAAACATCCACCAGGTGCGAAAAGACGAGAAGGAGCAAATCAAGACCCTCAACAACAAGTTTGCTTCGTTCATCGACAAGGTGAGACCTCACCAAGGGCTGTGGAATCATGACGGAGAGGGAGAAAGACAGTCTTGTAGCTACAAAAATACGACTTCATAGATCTGTAGCCTATTGTATGTCTCCTATTTGCACGTCTTCTAAAATAATCAAAAAAGAACATTCTTCGAAGCAGTTATGAGGCAGAAAACTAGACTAGAAGATAGTAATAAGAGGGTTAGATCCAGGTTTTGTGCCTGGGAAATAAGATGTATTCACCCAAATGGAGAAAACCTGTTCCAGGTCCAGACCTCACTGCTTGACCCAGCTCTCTCTGTGGGGAATCTCAGCAGACGCGTTGGTCCTTATTGCTTTCTTGCCTGGCAGCTAAAGCCCTTTCTATATTGACTCAACTTAAGTGCTTCCCTGGCTTTTCCTTGGGTAAATACACGGTATATATGAGCAAAAGGAAAGGCAATTAAGTACTTGTCTTTTAAGCTGTAGCGCTCAGATCTTAGCTTTAATGAAGGAAGATAAATATCTCTTACAAAGGAAGAAAAACCAAAGGATGTTAAAGAAAGCAGGTAATGAAAGAGCTGAACCCACATTTTCTGATGATTGCTCATCGGCTTGCTAAATTAAAATTGTCTCTAACAAGAACTGTCCACTAAGGGCAGATTTGCTTGGCTACTGGATGGGCTAACATAGCCCTAGATAATCTGGAGGAGATTCACAGCTGGATTTAATGCTCTTGGGTTGGGATTTCCAAACATCAGCCCCAGTTACTGGCCACCAGCATGTTCACAGGTATCTTCTGCTAAGCCTCTTCTGCTCCCCAATGTCCAGGTTCGCTTCCTGGAGCAGCAGAACAAGGTGCTTGAGACAAAATGGACCCTCCTGCAGGACCAGGGTCAAAAAACCAACTCAGGCAAAAGCAACCTGGACCCCCTCTTTGAGGCTTACATCAACAACCTGAAGCGGCAGCTGGCCAACCTGCTCAACGAGAGAGGACGCATGGACGGAGAGCTGAAGAACATGCAAGACCTCGTTGAGGATTTCAAGAACAAGTGAGTGCCTGCTGGTGGCACATCCTGGCACCCTGGGGTGAAACGGGATGCAAATGGTTCAGCCTAGCATTAGGCAGTAGCATGAATCTCACAGATTTAGCTTTCTGCGAGTCAAACATCTTCCCTTTTCTACAGGAAAGGGGAAAAAAAAGGTATCTCCAATTTGTGCTCTGGCCCATAACATAGTACCTAACTAATCCCTCTCTAATATCCCACTCCTCTCCCTGAAGAACCCCTGCCTTCCTGCACAGAAGCAGAAGAAATGTCCATCAACATTTTCCCAACTGGAAAATGCAGGTTCAGCCAAGACACAACAACTTGTGATGACACTTGTGAAGGAAAAATCACCTAGACCAGCTTTACCTTCCTTGTTCCACCTGTGTTATGTCAAAATGTCATTTCAACCCTTGGAGAAATGGGATTCCTGGCAAGAGTCTCCAGGAGGCTGATTTGGAGATGCCTCCTGGAGCCCAAATAACCTCGTGGTCTTAGTTGTGCAACTCTGCTGCTTACCCGGGTATGATATCCAGCACGTCTTTCCCTTTATCCCTGCAGGTATGAGGAGGAAATCAACCGACGCACGGCAGCGGAGAATGAATTTGTGGTGCTGAAGAAGGTGGGTGAGACAGGAGGTATTAGGGATGCTGAGCTAACCCTGGGACTGGGGGTTCCCTGGGATGGGCTGGGAATGCCCTAAAGGATGGGAGATCTCATGGAACCTGTATCCTCATCCTTTAAAAGCTGCCATTTGGACTGTGGTTTTGGGGGAAAGGAATGGAGGGGCTTGGGGGATGGAAGTGAATTCCCACTCCTGTCCCAACACCCATGCTGGGCACAAATGGCCTGAACCTCCTTCCTTATCCACTAACGACGTTACACACAGCACTTCTTGTGGCCAAGAGGTGTCCTCTTGGTGCTCTTCCAGGGGAACGTGCCTAGCAGCTCCTCCAGCCAGGCAGCACCACCGCAGCAGACTCATCTCCAGGCTTGGCCAGCTCATGGCTGAGCTCAAGAAGTACCTGGGGCTGCAGATGTCCCCATGGTCATTCTTTTCCAGGACGTGGATGCTGCTTACATGAACAAGGTGGAGCTGGAGGCCAAGGTGGATGCCCTGACTGATGAACTCAGCTTCCTCCGAGCCCTCTACGATGCGGTACAGATGCCCTCCTTCCCTGACTGTCCTGTGGTCACCCCCTGGACGATGACTGCCACCATTGATGGTGTTTGGGAAGGTAAGTGCAAGCTGGCTGGGATCCTCTGTGCTTCCTCACAGGAGCTGGCTCAGCTCAGTGCACAAGTGTCCGACACTGCTGTCATTCTGTCCATGGACAATAACCGGGACCTGGACCTCAGCAGCATCATAGCTGAGGTCAAAGCTCAGTACGAGGACATCGCCAACAGGAGCCGGGCTGAGGCTGAGGCCTGGTACCAAACCAAGGTGAACAGACCCCTGGGTGCATTTCTGGGGAAAATCACTGCTGTCCCTATATAAGGCTGTTTGAGCCACCTCTTGTCCACCTGGACATCTCAGAGGGTTTACTCTTCCTTCTGAACCGCAGTTCGAGGAGCTGCAGGCCACAGCTGGGAAGCATGGGGACGACCTGCGCAACACAAAGGGGGAAATCTCGGAGCTCAACCGGCTGATCCAGAGGATCCGGGCAGAGATAGAGAACACAAGGAACCAGGTAGGAATGGCAAAAGGAGCCCATAGAGCCTCATTGTGTGGTCCTTTAGCACCACAGCTCTGCCATCTGCCACTACTTTGCTGGATGGGGACTTTAGCAGCCCCATTGTATGTTCTACCTCATTAAATGTACAGAATTCCTTCCTGAAAAGGGTATCATGCTCTAACTGTTCAAGAAAAGGCTGGATAGGGCTTTGAGCAACCTGGTCTGATGGGAGGTGTCTCTGCCCAGGGCAAGGGGTGGGACTGGATGATCTTTAAGGTCCCTTCCAACCCAAACCAGTCTGTGATTCTATGAACATGTATTAAATCACTCTTGACAGGCTGGCATTTCAACGCCAGCAATGTTAGCGATGGGTGAAAGACCTCAGTTCATACCTTTTGTCATTAACACCCCAACCAGAATGGTTTTCTTCCTTGGGTGACTCTTACCCAGAAAGAAAAGCAGCATTTAGGAGTCCCCATCCCTCCTCTCGCAGTGTGCCACCCTGCAGACAGCCATCGGAGATGCCGAGGAGCGTGGAGAGCTGGCCCTCAAGGATGCCAAGGCAAAGATGATTGACTTGGAAGACGCCCTGCAGAAAGCCAAAGCTGACATGGCCCGTCAGCTCCGCGAGTACCAGGAGCTGATGAACGTCAAGCTGGCCCTGGACATCGAGATTGCGACCTACAGGAAGCTGCTGGAGGGCGAGGAGAGCAGGTGGGGGCAAAATCCCTTCAGGAATAAGAGTGACTATCACCTTGCCCCTGCCGGCAGTTGGACCCGCTGCCTGTCTCCTTCCTTTTGCTCTAACCTCCCCTTTCTCTGCCCTCCAACAGGCTGAGCGGAGAGGGACTCAACCCCATCAGCTACTGTAAGTACCACAGTCCTTGTCTTGCTTTGGGCCGATGGGAGCAGAGGCTGTGGGCAACCTTGGGAAAAGGGAGGTTTTGCCTAATATAAGGCGTTCAGTGCCCTCCAACAGCTTTGGTGGCTTGCACAGGGGACAGAAGTTGGGTTCAAGTCCTGTAGGTCAAGGCCCCGGTGATGGTGCTTTCTGGAGCTGGGTGGCTATCAAGGAGATCTCCAACCCTCTGGTTGCTTTTTCTTTCAGCTGTCATCAGCTCCAGCTCTGGGGTGGCCGGTGGAGCTGGGTTAGGAGGAGGATTTGGTGGACTGAGCCTCAGCGGAGGAGGCGGCGGAGGTGGTTTTGGTCTTGGAGGTGGCGGTGGAAGCGGTTTTGGTCTTGGAGGAGGTGGTGGAAGCGGTTTTGGTCTTGGAGGAGGCGGCGGAGGTGGAGGCTACAGCTTTGGAAGCGGAGGACTTGGACTTGGTGGTGGCCTTGGAGGTGGATTTGGAGGTGGCAGCGGGCTCAGCATTGCAAGTGGTCCTGGCTACGGAGTGGGTGGCAGCAGCAGCCTGAGCACCAGTGGAGGGAATTTCAGCTCTGGAAGTGCAAAAGGCACCAACCCAGGTGTGAAAATCGTCTCCAAAACCTCCTCCAGCAAAAAGAGTATCAAAAGCCAAAGCCTGAAGAACGCTACACAGCCCGAGTAAAACCACCACCAGACCCTCCCCAAAGCCACGGCTCCTGCCTTGCTCCCAAATCGCTCCCACACATCACCATCCCCTTCACCCACCTCTGCCCCGGCTCCTCGCTCCGTACCTCTGCCGCATCTGGATCACCATTGACAGAGAGCAGCGGAGCACGCGTTAACCAGATCTCTCAAAGTGCCTGAAACAGGATTAAAAAAAAAGAAAACACGGGCCTAAGTGATTTTCTGAATGGGGATTTTTTTTTTCGTTTGGTTGTTTGCTTTTAATGAGGCTGAGCAGCTCATTTGTAACTGTGGCCAGCTGACGGCCATCAGCCCACACAGATCAAATAGCAGGGGAGATGCAATAACGTGGGTTTTTAGCTCAATTCTGGCCCATGGGAGCCCAGGGATGGGCTGAGAACTTGGCTTCTGTTCAGTCCCATTTGCCGTCACTGCAGGGACCAACCAAACTCACTCCTTGAAGTGAAGCAACTCACCTTGGTCAGAGATGTGGGTTATTCTTCTGCTGTGTAGAAATACCCCAGGAGGTTGCTGAAAGACCCCAGGGCAGTGGTTTGTAAGAACAGGGCTCCTTTTAAAATATTCCTTATTATGGGAGGACAGAGCCTGTCAGGAGTCTCTCAGGTGCGATGGAAAAAATCCCTCTTTTCCCCATTCAGAGCTTTGGAAAGACATGTTCCTTCCAGCTGCGCGGAGCGTAGTGTTAGGAAAGGAACCTGAGATCCCTCCATCTGAAAAGTGCCCCCCAGGGGGATGTGGAGGCATCGAGAATCACTTGCAAGGAGCTTATCCAAAAGGCAACCCCAAATTCCTCTCCCATTCCTCTCCTTTCCCTTCTTAAGTGAAAGTTGCCCGTTGCAGCGCCTTGAACGTAACCTTGTTGGGTGCATTTTGTCAGAGGAGCCACCAGTGACTGACCCACAGCACAGGGAAAAAGGGCTCATTTCCTAAATTGTAGTATTTTCTAATTCTAAATAATAACTGGGGCAGAGAGTTCCTCAAAAGCCAGATGGGTGTTGGCAGTTAAATGGGGGTCCCTGCCCTATCTCACGCTTGGTTTTGTTGGAATGGCTTAAAAAATGCCCAAATCATCTAACAGTCACTGACTTCGCCCACTCTCTTGGTAACAGAAGCTGAGAACAAAGTCTGAGATTTTGGGACTTTTTAGGTGGAGGAAGAGGAGGCTGAGGGGAGACCTTATCGCTCTCTACAACTATCTGAAAGGACATTGTAGAGAGGTTGGTGCTGGTGTCTTCTCCCAGGTGATTAGTGGTAGAAGGAGAGGGAATGGATTCAAGCTGCAACAGGGGAGGTTTAGATGGGACACTAGGAAACATTTCTTCCCAGAAAGAGTGGTCAGAGACTGGAATAGGCTGCCCAGGGAGGTGGTAGATTCACCATCCCTGGATGTGTTCAAGAGTCATTTAGATGCGGTGGTGGGGGATAAGGTGTAGGGGAGAACTTTGTAGAGTGGGGTTGATGGTTGGACTCGATGATCCCAAGGGTCTTTTCCAACCTGAATGATTCTATGATTCTATGAAATGGTGATAATCACACTTAAAAAACTTCCTGAGATGGCCCTGTCCACACATGTTCCTGGGGATGTTCCAGCATCTCCACAAGGTGGGGGTTTCTCTGCCAAAAGACAGATATTTGGTCAACTGAAAAGCGCCACCAGGTTTCAGCCCAGCACGTGGGGAACAGGGCAACCGGGAGCAGGAGCCCAAAGGCCCAAAGTGCCCCAAAACCTACTTTCCCTTTTCGGATGGAATTTACTCCTCTGGCCTTCCACCATGTCTTTTTATTTTTGTGAAAGTCCCATTAAAAAAGAAAAACTGCAGCTTTTTTTACTTCAATGATATGACGCTGCGTTTTCCTTCCTCTCTCTATTTTTTTTTTTCTGGAACCTATTGAATAAAACTGGATTGTAATTTATTTGTTCCTACATCTTTTTATTCTAAACCAGAACCAGTGGCATGAAATATTCCCAACCTTCAGCGGGGGGGTGGCTTTTGTTTTACTTTCGGGGAAAAGTTTCAAAATTCTGATAAAATTATAATGAAAAGCCAAAACAAATTGAAGAATCAGAGAAAAGAGGAGGAGGAGGGTGGGAGTTTATGCATAAAATGACAAAAAAATTAATCACTGTTCATTTCTTAATATATGATTGAAGTTAATTGAAAAGCCTCTTTTCCATGGATGGGAGGGAGTTACACAGTTCTGCTAGCTGGGGCAAAATCCCCCAAATTTAATTTAATTTCTTAAAAAGACGTAGGCAACCCAGAGCTCTGGGGGAGGATTTTATCAGGATGATCTAGACCGAGGTTGGGTTTCGGCGCAACTCACCCTGGGATGCAGGGATTTTGGTCAGCCGTGATTGCAAAAGGAGAATGAATAATAAAAAAAAACGGGAGGGGAGGGAGGGGGGAACCCAACCCAGACAAACACTCACACCTTATTGCATTTCAAAGAGGAAAACGCTTCTGCTCCCCGTGAGTCCCAGCTGGGAACCCGAGGCACCGAGAGACTGGAGCATCCGACACCCCTACTTCGGCCGGGAAAATAATCAGAGGACCAAAGTTTGGGGAGAAACCCCTCATTCCCCAATTATCCCGGAGGATGCTGCAGAGAGAGAGAGAGAGGCCAAAAATGAGTGAAGGCTAAAAAATAAACCCCGAGTCCCCTCCGTTTCTGCACCCGCCTGCGCGAACACCACGTCACCCAGCTGGGGCGCGAGGAGTTAATGTAGTTAATGACGACCTCACTGTAACTAACCTTAAAGGTTTGAATGTCTTGGGGGAAAAAAAAAAAAAAAGCCAAAAAGTCCAGAATCGGTGCTTCTGGGCAACCAACAGCCCTTCCCCCGGCACCCCTGGTCCCCCCACCAAACCCTACCTCCCAAACCCCGTCCTCCCCCATCATCCCAGGGGCAGATGCCGCCCTGAGCAGTGACAGGAGCCAAGGGAAACATGAGGGACTGAGAAATTCTGCACCAATTTTCCTTGTTTTGGTGCCTAAACCGGTGTTCGCTTTTACTCTTCCAACCCCTTTGTAATATTCCGCTTAATTACCATCGTCTGCAGCAACAGGCTTTCCTAGAAGAGCCGGGGAGGTAATGACTGCCTTCCACGGGAATCCTTTTCCCTTCACTTTAATTAAACCATCCTCAGCCCTGTGCTCCCGTTCCCAGGTGTGACTTTGCATAGCTTTTTGGAAGTCAAAAGCGGGCTCCCTGCCCACCCCCTTTCTCCCCAGGACCCAGCCCTCACGAGCCAATTCACATCTGCAGGCTTTGGAAAGCAAATTTCCCTACCTCTGCCACGCTTTTAATAGAATTTATTCATTTTCCCTATCAGCGTGACCCCAGCAGCACCGTTAGCGAGGTTACTTGCCCCTGCGCATCATCTGTGAAATGGGCACATGGCGCTCCCGGAGATGGGGGGAGCGCGGGTGCGGTTTTTCCTGCAAAACTCGGCCTTTCCAGCACCCGGGAGGTTCCCACGTCTCCACTCCCGAGGCGAGAGCACCCCCTTGCTACCGCCCAGCCCTCTCTCCCTTCCAGCGGGAGGGAGATCCAAGGACCAGCTTCCCGGAGGCGCCGCGGGCACCGGTGACTCAGGCTGTTGGCAACGAGCAGCCACAGGGAGATGACAGTTGGGAGCGCTGGCTTTTTCTGATTGCAACTAGGGGAGGAGCAAAAAAAAGAAAAGAAAAAAAACCCACACAACCACCTCCCCCGATACAAAATAAACCAAAAAAAACCCCTTGCGCTCAGGTTCTTTCAAGTTCCCAGACGGAGAAGACAGGGGTTGGAAAGGCATCAACAGGAACAAGCTCCGAGATGCAGCAGATGCCCTTAAGCCACTCCATTTGGATGAAGTTCCTGCACTTATTACTCACGTAGCCCATTTCCAGAAGCTTTTTTGGGGTTCATCTGCTCGGGGGTTTTATCTCTCTACCTTTGTGCTATTATTTTATCTGACGTAGAACACGACCAGGGAGGGCAGGAGGACGCAGAATGCAGTTTGCAGACCTGGTTTGGGTGGGGGAGAGGGGATTTCTCCTCTTGGACTCCACGTCCAGCTCTTGATGGACCCAAGAGGAGAAGTCCCCACCTCCCCTGCCTTCACACCCCACCAAAGCACGACCCAGCTTCAGCATGGGGATGGAAGCTCCTGGGTGGGGGTTGAACCCAAGATCAAGGGGAAAAGGCTATTTTAGGAAAAAAAAAAAAAATTCCAAGGGAATGATCTCAGCAGGGTGAAGGAGTGGGTGGGAGGGAGCTGGAAGAAAAGCGGGTGAATTCCCCTCCACACAAGGTCTCAGAGAAGCAGGAGTGACGTGGAATCTGCTGGTTAAATATTGGAGGGGGAACAGAAAAAAAGCGATAAAAATACCACTTCACAGGGAGCTTTTGAACCCTGAGCCTGACAAGGAGATTCAAAAGAAGAGCAATCATTTCAAGCGCCTTTTAATAACTATTTTATAAGTCTCGTAGTACTATTTAACGTAATTTGAAGTTATTTGGGAAAAGGGATTTACTTGCTGCCTTTGAAAGCCATGCTCACAAATTTCTAAGCTTCCCCTGCAACGAGGGAGACCAGTTTTTTTGGTAAGATCCCGAAAAATCCTACCACGAGACAACCTTCAGGCAGCTCAACTCTGCAAGCCCACGATCCCCTAGGCTCTCTTTTCCGAAAGAAATCAGCAGATAAATTAAAGCTGACAAATAAAACCACCTTCAGCCCCCAGCTTTCCCAAGACAACACCACGACACGTGTCCGGTCCCAGACCTGGAAGCAGCGGAAAAAAAATAAAAAAGCCTTTATTTATGCTGCCTCCTTTGTCGTGTGATGTGTTAAAGCCTAAAACTTCAGCCTGGAAAGGCTTCAGAGTAAGGAATTTTATTCCAGGCAGCTTTCCCTTGGCTGGCCATAAGGAAAAGCAGCTCCCAGGGTCCCGGAGAAGAGTCGTGTCGTGTCCTGCTCCCCAGCGCAG